TTACAAGATTGCTTCAACAGCAGTCCGATGTCTATAATGACCTCATAGATGAATGGCAACAACAATGGGATGAATCATCCAAGGGGCGCCATCTTTACCAATTCTTTCCATCTGTTCGCGAACGGTTGTCGAGGACATGGCTTGAGGTGGATCACTGTGTCGCTCAATTTCTTACGGGTCATGGTAACTTTAAGAGCAAGCTTTATTCATTTAAATTAGTCGAGTCACCATTGTGTCAATGCTCAACACCTAACTCTCACTATGAACAGTCTGCTCATCATATCGTCTGGGAATGTAGTCTTTGGTATAATGAGTATAATGAATGGTTGGGATCTTGTGTCAACTAGGGTGAATTTCCGTGCGTTTAGGCGATTCTGCCATACATATTATAGAAATCAAATATAGCTCACGTAGGACCCGTAATATTTCGTGGCCGTGGTGCTTCCCTGTTTAAAAGGGTGTATGCCCATTTTACTTCATTTTGTCTCCCGCTTTGCTAAGGAGGGAAGTGGATTTACTGTATTTCCAACTCCTCCAATTTTCTTCTGATTAATTTCGTTGCGGGTTCCAAGACAGTTTAATTTCTTCCTGGGACTTCCCGAGTGTCATAACTCGGTGTGTTCGTGGGTCACTGCTGTGGATCCTGGTGTACAGGAGTTAAATTGGTGGGCGTGTGGGCGGGATTAGTCCCATTCAAAATCTGTGGTCAGTTCTATGTCAACTTACATATGTGTAAATACGACACCTGCCTGCAATAGATCTTACTTTACCTATCCGTTGAACGATTAAAACAAAAACATATGTTACATATATAAAAGTAGTCTGTATCCAATAAATGGATGGATTTTTTATAGTCGCAAGTCGCCAGCAAGTCAAGAATCTGCAACTAAAGAAACACAAGTAGGTCGCCACTCGCCGGCCTTTGAGCGAACCTGGCAGAATATTGAAGTCCAGAGTCAAGACCTGCCTGGTATGGCTCTCCGACAGTCCCTTTCTATTTTAATTTCATTCTTAAAAATATAAAATTAAATGTAGGGCAGCGCCATCTACGTCAACACTAAGGTACTAAAAGGAATATTCTAAGCACAGATTTCTAAGTTTGTTCTATCTAATTTCTTTATGACACTGGCGCTGTAGACAATGTGACTGAAGAGTTTTCATTGAAAGATAGTATAAAGGTATATTTAATAATATCATATTTTATATGTAATTAATACTAATAGTGAGTCACTCCTATGATAGACCGCTTAATACCTACAAAGCCGTCTCGACAAAAAATGTGTAGGTAAAGTAGGAATGGAATAAAATCATATAATTACAACTATGATAAAGTCTGAAAATCGTCAAAGAAATTTTATTGATTTTAATGGCATGTATCTGTGACCAAATCTCAATCACAGGTGAAATCGTTGCGAGTAAAACCAGTAATTGCATCATATGAATATTATTAAACAGTAGCAATAATTTCCATGACTACAGGTATCTAGGTAAAAAAGTACTTGCGTACTTTAACTATATTTTACGTTGTCCGTGTGGTGACGGATTAAGAATACAAATTGTCACCACCCCAATTCATCCCGTGGGTGTCGTAAGAGCCGACTAAGGGAGCAAACTAAGCAGGACAACAGCACTGCAAAGAGAAGGAAAACTTGAAACAAACCCTATACCAACCCGTCTGGCCAGCGTGGTATAGTAGGCCAAAACCTCATCGTTAAAGTAGTCTTCATCCCCAAACTTGGCAAAGGTGACACACAACCCAAATCACACCGACCTATCAGACTCACGTCCTTCCTGTTAAAGGTTCTCGAGAGGCTAATAGATAGGGAAATTAGGAGCACTGCGTTAGTCAGTCACCCCTTACAATACAACCAGCACGCATACTTGATGGGAAAACCAACAGAATCTGCTCTACATCGAGTTGTATCACAAATTTAAGGCAATCTAAAACACAATAGGTCAACACTGGCCACCTTCATTGATATCGAGGGTGCCTTTGACAAAACCAATTTCACCAGCATTAGCCAAGCTCTGTCTAGACTAGATTCTACAATCTCAGGGTGGATCGACAGCATACGAAGATGTAGAGCTATTCAATTTACCTACTGTGAGCAAAGTGACTAGAAGGGTGGTGGCTACAGGATGCCCCCAGGGCGGTGTACTCTCCCCCCTTCTATGTAACAAACTCAATGACCGTAGATTCGGCTATGCAGACGATCTGACTATCCTTATCAGTGGTCCCTTTGAGAGCGTTACATGCGATCAAATGAGACTTGCACTGAAGATCGTTGAACAGTGCTGTGTAACACACAACTTGACAGTGAACTCGTCGAAAACAGAGATGATTATGTTCACAAACAAAAGTAGTCTAGGAAATCTAAGATTTCCCAAGCTATTTGGAACGCAACTAGCTCTTAATAAAGAGGTCTAATACCTAGGAGTTATACGGGACAGTAAACTTCCGTGTGAGGACGGATTAAGAATACGGAATGCCACCACCCCTATTTATCCCGTAGGTGTCGTAAGAGCCGACTAAGGGAGAAAACTACGCAGGACAACAGCACTGCAGAGAGAAGGAAAACTTGACACAAACCCTATACCAACCCGTCTGGCCAGCGTGGTATAGTAGGCAAAAACCTCCTTTCTAAGGAGAAGCTTATGTCCAGCAGTGGACTATTAAAGGCTGTTGATGATGATGAAACTCTGTGGAATAAGCAACTCGATGATAAAACAAACAAAGCCTGCATTGTCTTCTGCCAATGCGAACGGCTACTCGGCAAAAGCTTTCACCAAAAATTACACTATGGCTCTACAGGACAGTCATAAGACCAATAATCACTTACGGGGCTATTGTCTGGTGGCAGAGAACAGAGCTAAGCACCGTCATAAACAAATTGCAGCCGGATGGAGGCCGCCATGACGATCATCAGACTCAGACACCTTGGTCTGTGACATAAAGGTGAGGGAACACAATGACCTCTGGTATTGTCTTCGAATGCCATCAAGCATTGGAGCTGCTTGCCACAGTAAATGGAGTACTACTCCAATGGATTAAAGGGCATAGTAATTCACACGGGAACGACGCCGCAGATGAGTTGGCAAGGAGGTGCTCAGCAACCCCGGCCACAGGCCCAACTATACTGCTGCCACTGCCTTTTAACCAACTTCGATCCTGGGTTAGACAGCGTACTCGTGAAGCACACAACCGAAGATGGAAAAATTCACCCGGCTGCAGACAGTCTAAACTGGTGTTGACTGAAATCCACCACGACTTACTTGCAGGCTGATCAGTTTTAGTAGACTAGATATCCGAACAATTGTAGGAACCATAACAGGACACCTAGCCCTGAACCGACAACTATTCACCATTAATGCGATGGACAGTCCTCTTAGCAGAGGATGTCTGAATGCAGAAGAAACGGCCGCCCACGTAATCCTAGAATGCTAGGGTGTGGCCACACAACGGGCAAGTTTAATTCTTGATACAAAATCGCTCCTAGAAGCCTGTGAACGCCCCAGGAGACTTCTGCGCTTCTGGAAGGAGCTTGGTTGGCTCACCTAGCCAACCTGTCCTCGACGCATAAAGAACCATCTTGAGTCTAAATGCGGAAACCGGAGCCCACAACCAATACCAATACCAAAAAAAATCTAAATGCATATTAAACCACCAAATACATTGAGTTTTATTATACGCTTTTTCTCTTATCAAATTATTAGTAAAATAAAGAGATAATAGCACTACTATGAGTTAGACAAATAATAAAAATATTTCACAGACGTGAGGGGCAGAAGATGGACTCCGCTCTCCTTCATACCGCGCCCCAGCGTTGCTCCTCTAATTAGCTGAGTTGACTCACTATTAGCATTTATTACACTATGATAATATAGTCGTCTTATTAACAGTTCCCCATACACAAAATTAGACTGGAGATGCATTCCATTCCATTCTCTGCATTCCACAAAATTTTATAACCATTATTTTACTGATGAAGCTATGTGCTTGTGGAATGCATTGCCGATAAATATCAGGCGAGAGCAATCAATATCTACACAATTTCAAGAAAATGGTTCAAGTATTTTATGTGTTTTAATTAAATCAGTTACTTTTTAAGGCATGATGCGAATGTTTTATTTATTTTTAAGTAGGTATAGCTATGTATGTATATTTTTTGGTGTATAAATATGTATATGTATTAATCTAATTTTACCTCTTATATTCATAAGCATTTAACCTGTCAAAACTCATTGCACCTTCAAATACTACTGTCTCTTCAAAACATTTTGATCCATCCTAAGTTTGTCCGGAAGAAATTGCTCTTAGCCTTACTGCCGCCCTTTGTACCTTATGCTTACATGTCTGACAATTTTATGTACTATACTGTTGTAAAATGGTGTACCGATACGATTTTTTTATTTATCTACCTTTAATAATATACACTGTTCATAAATGCAATTAGATGGCACTACACTCAAAATCAGTTCTAATGTCAATAGGAATTTACATAGATGGTACTTTGAGTTTGCTTTAGCTACTTCCACTACATCATCAACATCAACAGCCATCATAGTCCACTGCTGGAGATAGGCCTCTCCTTAGAAAGGAGGTTTTGGCCTACAATTAGACTTCCACTAGATCATGACCTATTATAGGTCATAGGCTATGGCATACTGCTGTTAATGCAGTAAAAAAAATCAACATCACCAACAGCCCTTAGTAGGCAACAGGCTGGACTACTTACCTTTTGGTATAGGGTTTGTGTAGTTTTCCTTCTCTTAGGACACTTTACACTTGAGATGTTTAAATACATTTAAATAAAGTCAAATATTTTGCAATCTAATATCATTTTTAATTTAAGACTATCAAACAAAATATTTTAACCTTATTTATAATGTAATAGTAAACATTTTTTTAGCTTAATAAAATGAATATATTATTTTAAATAATGTTTATTAGATTACAAATCTACACTAAACAAAAATAAAATTACAATTATTAATTAAAGCTATTTTTGCTTTGCTTGGATAGTTGTCATCTTAGTGGGGTCAAATTTATATGTTTTTTGTAGTGGTCCTTTGCCAGCTTTAGTGAAGATCATTTCATCAATTCTTTGCCTCTCTGCTAATTCTTTTGAAAGTTTAATATTAGTCCATGACTCTTTGACTCCAGAAAGAAAACCTTTTTTCTTGATAGGTAGTGTATCTGGTGAGTGCTTCATTAATTTTTCAATTTTAAAGTAATCTCGGACTGCAGGTACTTTTAGTACACCAACTTGTAGGAGGGATATAAAGTTACTGGAACACCAGTAAACTAGAATGGCACCAGGAAAATGTATAGTAAAAGGAATCATTACAATAGGTATTGCTCGAAGGAAATATCTCATCATTTGCATATTTTGTGCATCAAGACGGGCACCATCAACACCAAGCTCAATTGTAGCCCACATTGTTGCACTAGTTATGAGAGGTAGTAAAAAAAATTGGTCAGGTACAGTTAAATCCATGAACCATGCAAGTCCACCATATGTCATGCTCTCAACTGGACAATTTGCCATTCCTCTTAAGCCCATAAAGAATGAAATAAACAAGGGAGCCTGCGCCAATGGTACTAACACATTTTTTAAGGGATTCAATCCTTTTTCTTTCATAAAGGCCATCATTTCTTGAGCATAACGAGCAGCTTCAAGCTGATTACCAGTCTGTCTTGCTTGAGTCATTTTCAGTTGCAATAGCTGAATTTCGGGTAAGTTATTATTCATGCGCGCTGTATTTTTTTGAGACATAATAACGAGTGGAAACATGACTACTCGAACTACTACTGTGCCTATGAGAATAGCGCCCCACCACGGAATATCTAAGGAAACATGTAAGTACTCAAGACAATTTTGTACTAATCCAACCGGGCTCCAACCGCCAAGACCAAGGCTTGCAAATGTAGGCTCTCCATTAGCTGCAAGCGACTGTACTGTTTCAGTTAAGTCAACAAGAGTTGAAGGGTCTGGTACAGGAGGTGGTTCTGGTATACTCTCAGACAAAATATTCGTTTTGCCAGTATCGCTTATACCCGTTGATTGAAATCTTATAGATCCAGCTGAAGAATATACGTAATAAACTTTAGCTTTGCTAACCTCAAACCTCTCAGTAAACAAATTCATAACTGCACTCCGTCGCCCATGGCGATTCAGTAATTTAAACATTTTGCCGTCTATTTAAATCTTGCAATAATTGTGAATTTTTAACGCTTTAAATCTAATTTCTCACTTTGTTACGGCACATTTCTGACAGTGATAATAAGCCTGCTCCCACAGAGTACAGTGATACTATAAGTGACTAGAGACCGGCTTCTTTTCTATTTAGTCTGTACCATCAAGAACAAAGGGGTTGCCTCGAACTCGAATGTCAAAATGCGAAATCGGTAGATTCGTCAAGTAATTCAGCATATTTGGCCCATAACATTGGGCATATTTCATAAAAATTAAGTGTATTATTTATTTAAATTAATCACAATGAAATCGAATTAACACTAAAATTCCTCATTTTGAACTCCATGAATTAAAAACCATTATTAAAAGTTCAAGAATCGGGTATTGAAACCCTACCTCGCTCATCTTAAAGCCCCACCTTAGCTCCTTGAGACTAATTTTTATTGACTGCACGGATTTCATAGTGATTTAAGCGGTCGACACGCCGCTTACTACTACGCTAAGTGCTGTGGGTCCGATCCCCACATGGGACTACACTTTGTGTGATCCACAAATTGTTGTTCTGAGTCTGAGTGTTCCTTGTGTCTGTTTCATATATGTTTGTAAAGTCCCCCGCAACACAGGATATTCTTATTCCTAATGCGGGAGTTGTCTTTTTAAAGGAATATATTTAATATAACCTACTATAGGCAACAGAAATTAGATGTATTAGGTAGTCAACCTATCCATTAGGCTCATGTACTCGACCCATCATTATTCCTTCATTTTTGTTGTGCAATAGTAATAAGAAAACTTTTTTTTGTTTTCAGTAAACTAAACGTAACTACACAACTCTATTTTCAAGTAGTTTGTCGTTGGATTTTTGAGTTTTCTCTCAAAAATCACACAACAACAACAATTATTGTCAATGCCAAAGTTTCAAAACCATGTGGGAATGTAGTTAGGTAAAACATTTTTAGCCTAGAATTATTATATGTATGGTAACTCTTATTTCTACTGGGACTAAATAATTGGCATACAAACATGTCTCACATATCTTATCCATTTAAGAAAACAAATAAAGCTGTGTACCAGAAGCCAGCGTCTGTTCTTACAGAAGATACTATTTATTGGAAGAAATTAGGGGTAAGACTAAGAAATAATATTATTTTAGGTATTATTAAAATAAGATTAAATTATTTTGTGAAAGGTTTATACTAGTATATACCCGACTTAATTTAAGATTCGTTAAAACAATATTTTGTACATAATTTCAGCTACCAGTCTTAGTAAAGGAGTTCGGAGCGATAGACTTTTTAGACTTCAGTCCTGTAGAACCTTATTACTTTGCTGCAACGTGCTCCGTCAGAGTTCAGGTAACTGTTTTTTTTTTTTTTAATAACAAATATTTAGCATGCAATATAGTACTTTTATGAATACTATGCAAGAGTAAAAATTATTGTGTGAGTCTAACATTTATATAACTTTATTATAAATTGTATAATTGTTCAAGGTGTATGATCCAATTACAAAAGTTGTAGCTAAAAATATTTCAAAATTTGTGGAAGCTGCATATGGAGCCACATTCAGAGGAGATGGAAGGCTCCTAGTTGCTGGCAGTGAAGAAGCTGTTGTGAAACTATTTGATATTCAGTCTAAGAATATCCTTCGAGTGTTTACTGGACATGCAGGACCTGTAAGTAATTGAAATTAAAGTTTTCATACATTGTTTTTATTATTAAATATGTGTTATCAAAATAATAAAAATGTGTTGATGCATCTCACACACTGTCATATTCCAAATTAGGAAGATCCTTTGCCTTGCTAGATGGTTAACAGGCTGCTGATAAACATACTTATATATTTCTAAATACAGACACACATATTATAGATAAATTACACCCAGACACAACAAATGATCGTAATTATTACAGAACTATTTGTCCTGGGTGGAAATCAAACACACAACCTCTAGCTTAAAAGTCAGGATCACTAACCAACTAGAGGGGAAAAAATAATTGCCAATAATGTGTTGGGATTAACTCGCACAGTAATAACTTATACATTTGGATTAACTTACAATTTTTAACATCAATTGTTAAAAATAAAACGCACCATCTGGCACTATTGCTCATTTTAGTAAACAATTATTCATATTTAATTTCCACATCCATATATATTCTGTATACCTTATTTATTTATTTTTAATTTCAGGTTCACAGAACATACTTTACAAAAGATCAAGTTAAAATTATAAGTTATTCTGATGACAAATCTGTTAATTTATGGGATATAGCAACAGAAGAAAAACTAGCCACATTCTCAGAACATACAGATTATGTGAGAGCAGGAGCAGCTAGCCCAATCTCTCCAGATATAATATTATCTGGAAGTTATGATCATACAGTCAAATTGTATGACTGCAGATCTAATGAAACAGTTCTCACTGTTAACCATGGTTGTCCAGTAGAATCAACATTGTTCCTACCTTCAGGAGGAATATTTATAAGTGCAGGTGGTACAGAAATTAAAGTTTGGGATATTTTTAATGCTGGGAAATTACTAGCAAATATTTCACAACATCATAAAACGGTTACAACTCTTGGACTAGCCAGTAATAATAGTAGACTTATGGCTGCTTCTTTAGACAGACATGTAAAGATATATGATATCTCTACTTTTAAAGTTGTTCACAATATTGACTTCCCCAATGCAGTACTAAGTATGGCCATATCCAAAGATGATGATACTCTGGCAGTAGGTATGATTGATGGTATAATTTCTGTACGGAAGAGAGAAAAGCCAGCCCGACTTGCTGATGAAAAAAGAGGTTTGTTTAAATTTGCACCAGATCACATTCAAACTTCAATTGTAGAAGAAGCTAAAACAAAAGAAAAATTAAATAAAAGCTCGGAATCTGATAAGTTTTTAAGAAAAATGGAGTTCACTAAAGCCCTTGCTGCTGTTTTAAAAACTTATGTTGCTACAAAATTTCCTGAAAAAACAGCAGCAATAATTCAAGAAATGCTTAAGAGAAACGTACTTCATGTAGCTATGGATGGTCTAAAGGAAAAAGACATTGGGACACTACTTAAATATTTTAAGAAGAATCTTGGAGATACCAAATTTTCTAGAGTAATCATAGATGCAACAAATGTTTTTGTTGATGTTTTTGGCAATCATGTAAAAACATTTTCTGAATTAAATCAATTGTTATACACTTCACTAATTAAAGCAATTGAAGATGAAATAGAAGTATGTAAGAGAGTTAGTGAGTTGGAAGGTGCTATTAATCTACTAATGGCTGGAGCCCAAATTAGCAGCGGTAATGATACTATAGAAATTAATGACACATTTACACCATCATCAAAAGCACAAAAAGAAATTGTAATTGATATATAATAAATAGATTCCTTTACATTTGCTCTTTTTATAATTATAATGAAACAGCATTTTGAGATGGGACTACGGGGATTGGGAATTAGGTGTCGTGAGTGGTGACACTCCGTATTCTAAATCCGCCACCAAACACATAGTAACAGTACACAGTGTACAGTTGGATTAATATTAACATTGTCATGAATATACAGATGATTTACAACAACTTTATTAATTTATTTATTACTTTTTAAATATTATATTTACTCTTTTTGTAAATACATACATATTATACATAAAAGCATCCAGACCAAATCAAACATTAAATGTTCATGCACACAATGTTTGACTTGAGCGGGAATCGAATCCGCAAACTTTAGAATAGGCGTTACATAAACCACTACGCCATCCGGTCGTCAAATTTAAATTATGTTTATTCAAAAACTAGTTGTAAATAGCCTTGTAATAAATACGCTAAATAATGCAGTCCTAAACCAATTTTTAAAAAATCGATCTAAGTGGCGTGCAATGGGAGATGCCTATGTCCAGCAGTGGACTGCGATAGGCTGATGATGATGATGATGATGAACCCAATATTAATCCCAATTCCTTTTTATATTTATATTTAATTAAAACACTTTAATTATTACTGTTCATGTACAGCAATAATTACTGCTGTAAGAAAACTCATTAAAATGCTTCTTATATCTATTATGTTATATCTTATATCTGTTTGTTTTTACGCTTGTTACGTCTATATTTTGTTTTTTATAGCCAACCATTTCCATTGAAAGAACAAGTGGTGAACAGAAGGTCAATTCTCATACTAATAAATCCTTCAAAATTCAGTTCCGGTCTACTCTCGATGTCACAAATGTCATAAAAGGTATTCTAGTAGTAAAGGAAGACTATAGCAGAATACCGATTTCGGTCACACACAATACGAAATAAACACATTGCTGTCACCGTTGGATCGAGAGTAGATCGAAACTGAATTTTGAATGATTTTTTTGCAACGACTGTTTCATTTTTATTTTAACACCAAAATCAAACCGGTTTATATAAATCTTTTATATAAACCCTTTGAGGTGAATTTTTTTTCAGCAGTAGCGGTAAAATTCCTTTCTGATTTGTTTTTTTTTCCTGCAGAAGTAAATTTTTACTACTTAATATGTCGCTGTGACGAACGAGAACAGATAACAACTTAAGATACCATTTACACGTAGAGCTTGACCTATTGTAACCAGACAGAAAAAATCTATAAAAATTACACCCAGAAACAGAACAAATGATAATTATGAAATTATTTTCTCTGTAAATAGGAAACGAACCAACGAGCTCTGGCGTAGGAATAAGGATCATCGATTCATCATCGACAGCTTATAACAGTCCACTGCTGGACACAGGCGCAGGCCTCTCCTTAGAATAGAGGTTTTTTGCTAACTTTATCACGCTTGCCAAACGAGTTGGTATAGCGTTTGTTTCAAGCTTCTTTTTGCAGTGCTGTTGTTAATCTGTCACAACACGTACACTAAGGATCACTACATCAGAATCCTACTTGTGGTCAACTACAAAGGTGGTTGTACAACGGCGAAGAAAGGCGTGGAGCGTGGATGGGATGGGCGTGATTTGAAATC